ATCATAATTCACTACTTAAAAACTAGTTCTTTTGAGCTATCCTTACTTTATTTAATCAAGGTTTGATTTCTTAAAACACACCATGAGTTAATTCTTCATAATGTCCTTAATTTTGTCATGGATAACTTGTTCTGGACATGGATGGTGCTACACTTTATAATGTCTGTTGAGCTTCCCTATTAGGAACATATATATGACACATACATGTATGTATGATATGTGATGTTATGGGTTACTATGGAGATACATACATGTATATGCATGCATCCATCTGATCCTACCAGTAAACTGAAGCAAGAGAGAAGGGGTTTTCTCTCAGCTCTTTTCAGTCTTATATCTAGTAGACCGGCCAGATAGATCATATATCCACTCTCTCTGCCTGATCTCTCCCTCTCAAAAAGACCTTTACTTTCCTACTACCATCATCACAACTCCTAATCAAGAAAAGGCAGATCCAAGGTGGTTGTTAAGCTGTGATGCACCCTTATCAATCAATCAATCGACAAAGTATTATCAATTTTTATAAGGAAAAGGAGGAAGGGGCCAAATCAAGGATGTGCTCCTCCTCGGCCGTGTCTTTGGATCACCAGCTCCCTCCCTCCGAGCTGCTATGTTCTGTCCATTGCAACATTTGCCACACTGTTCTCGCGGTAGTAATACTATCCCTTATCATCATTTTATTCGCATCTCACTTGTCCACATGATCTGCTGCCTGCTCCTGTTTATATATCCACTGTTAACAGATTAAAGTTTTCTCTCTTTTATTTTTTTTCCCTTTTACTTAACTTGTTCATGCTGTATCTGTACGCTAGGTATGATATTGATTTAGTTTGTTATTTGTGTTTTGGGTGGTAGGTGAGTGTTCCCTGCACAACTTTCTTCAAGATAGTAACGGTTCGATGTGGACGCTGCACCAATCTCCTGCCTGTGAACATGAGAGGGCTGCTTCTGCCTTCTGCTGCTAATCTGCAGTTTCACTTACGCCGCAGCTTCTTCTCTCCTTCAAACATTCATCTGGTATATGATGAACAAGCAAATTCTTTTTATTTTTTTGGTTCATTGAGCTAGCTCGTTAATTTTATGAATTTGCACTTCTCGCTATATATTTTTTTAGCATTTTGATTTCTTTTTTTTTTTTTTTTTTTTTTTTTTTTTGTTTCCAGGATGAAATCTCAAACCATGGTCCAAACTTTTTAATTAAATCCAACACAAATGACTCTTTTTTTTTTTTTTTTTTGGTTGCTCCCAGGATGAAATCTCAAACCATGGTCCAAACTTTTTAATTAAATCCAACACAAATGACTCCACTTTACCCACTCGTGGAGTAGCTGAGGAGCTTCCAAGGGCACCAGTTAACAACCTCCAACGTGAGATTCCTAAACCTTATTTTTCATCATTAATTACTCAATAAAAAAAAATTGAAAGAAAATTTTCAATATGGCCTGCAATTCCTGCTTTTGTGTTTCACAAAACTAGGATCGATACTGTTGATTTAATAATGACTTTTCAGTTTTCAGCAAAATATATATATGTAGTGTTCCAGAAATTTCCAGCCCCCGCGTGACGGGGAATTAATATAGTAGTAGTTTAAATAGTAAAGAATGATATATAGATTAATTTGTTTCACGGAAATAAATAGTACTGTAGTAGATATGGTAAATTAAGAATCTATGAAGAGAGAAGATGGGAAATAAAGGTGAAGTGACCCTAGTGGGGAAAGAGGTAAAGACTAAAGAGGAGAAGTTGAAATTCACTGACAACCAGCATTGTAATCGAACCGGACCTTTAAGCGATCCTAACTCTTAAGTATTTGGGTGAGATGGTCGGGTTTCAAACTCTACTATCATTGTAAATTTTATCAAAAGTGACATGATGACCGCGCACCTCATTTGATGAGGTGAAATGTTCACCCAGTCTGAAGATCAAATCCCTAATTACTAACAACTAATTCATACTAACTTTTTAATCATTACCCTTATAAAAAAAAAAAAAAAAAAACACCAAACATTGTAATTAATTTGAAACGCGTCTTTGTTTGCCGTCCATGTTCAGCCCCCGAGAAGAGACGTCGGAGAGTCCCTTCCGCGTACAACCGCTTCATCAAGTAAGTAATCATTCAACCGCTTCATCAACGTCACAGCATTTAAGAGTACATCTTCTCGTGTTGTGTGTCTGTCTCCTCGATCGTATGTATATATATTTGCTTCCGTCAAACAAAATATATACTAGTTAAAATTCAGTCAAACTGATTTCTCCTCATAAATTTTCTTCTTCTTCTTTTTTTTTTTTTAATCACAATATTCGTTTTTATGTGTGATAATCACAAAATGGCATGTAAACTCAACTCTTATGTATGCATATATATATACATTAACAGTGAATAGTATATATTTTAATTGAATATATTATATAATATATTTATTTATTTTTTGGTATAATATTAAAGATAAATAAATTTAAGTGTACAAAATAAAAAAATAAATTGAATTAATTATATTTATATCATATTTTAATAATTAATTAAATTAAAATAAATATTAAATATGTATTGAACTTGAATACATATCAATCATTTTTCCAAATACATACAATTATATATACTGATATAGGATGTGTGTGCATTTTTAAGAAACTGTTAACTTTGGTAAATTGGAAGCGAATGTAGTGAAATGGTGGAATGATGTAAATTGCAGAGACGAGATCCAACGCATCAAAGCAGAGAATCCAGATATAAGCCATAGAGAAGCCTTCAGTGCAGCAGCTAAGAATGTACGTATATTAGATTTTCAATTTAGAGACACAACTAGTTACAGAATTAGGGTTTGTTTTCCTGAGATTGCAAAAGAAATGGCTTTTGAGTTTCCATTTCAATTTCAATATTGTAAAGAACAGTAAGTTTTTCTCTTGATATTGGTACGCACTTTCTCCTTGGCTGAAAGCTATATAATTTTTGTTTGGTTTTGGTCAGTGGGCTCACTTCCCACACCTTCACTTTGGAATCACGCCTGATCAAACAGTGAACACGACTAACGTGCGCCCACAGGTATAGTACCCTTGAGCTGCAATTCTGCCCATCTATGCTTGAGATACATATAAAAAATGGAAAAAAAATTTGTTTTGCAATCTCAACTATATCAAATTGTTAAATTGTAACTTTTGAATTAGAAAAGGTTCTTTGATATTAGACTTTCTTTCCTCATTCAAGAGCCTTGATTTTACCGTTTGTTATAAAAGTCTTGATTTTCTAATCTGTTATAAAAGTTTTCATTTCATAATATGTTACGGTTTAAATTATATAACAAAATCCTATATAAATATATATATGCGCAATGCAACTGAGATTTTTTTTTTTTTTTAATAGGAAGCAGGGGACATTCTGATGAAAGATTGATTTTTTGCTTCTTCAGCTAATGATGGTGTTTCTCCCTACTAACTAATTAATCTTAATTCTCGCACAAAAAAGGTAATTAAGCATAATTTGTCACTTTATTTGTCAATTAATTTGTAATGGTAGTCCTTAGTTGCAGAGGCAACGTGTTTCTTGTGGTGGCCTGGGGAACTATAGCCAGAGTTTTAGCTGTTCAAGAATAATTAACACTACTTTTTTTAATTTACTAGTAGTACTTTCTTTTCTTTTCTTTTTTTGGGTGAAATTACTAGTAGTACTTCATATCTCAAGATTGCAGGATCTACTTTTGAGACATGATCTCTGGTTTAGTTTAACAGTATTGGATTGCAACGATAGGCCTTTTTTTAATTTTTTTAATATCTTAAAAATATGTCAACATATATTTAATATTTATTTAAATTAATATTTTATATATTTTTAGAATAATAAAAAATTTAAACATTAAAAATTAAAGTACCAAAAAATATATATATTTTCAAACAAAACCTCTATTTATCTACGTTTTTTCTCAAATAATTTAACCATATGCAAGTTTTTGATGTCACTAGTTTATTACATTAACCATAGCAATAATGCATTTTGTTTTTTTGTTTCTTCCGTCTTGGCATGCGTACCCTCTATAGAATGATTAAAAGTTTTTTTTTTAATTTTATTTTGAAGAATTTTGTTTTTTTTTTTTTTTGGTTGTACTACCATATGTTTCACATTCTTTTCTGATAAATGGGCTCGCGCCAAATAGAAGCAGTTTTTCCTTTTTAGAATGTTTTCTTTAATAAATGGGCTAGCTCCAAATAGGGGAAGTTTTTTCACTTTTTTGGGCTTTGTAACGGATTAAACATAGGGGAAGCTCGTTATTGGGCCGAACCAAAATCCATGTTCCGCTGGTTCAAAAAAAATTTTTTTTTCATTTTTCGTTTTTAAGATTATTTTTCCTAAAAAAGTTAACCCAAAAATATGAATAAATGAATATTTTTGGACATTAAAAACATGGAATAAATGAGACTGAAGGAATCACTATGAATATCATGAATGTGAATCTTATACACAAGAGGAATGCATGATTCCTAAGAAGTCAAAATGAGGCATAGGATGTGGTCATTACCAAAAAAAAGAGTTGTTTTTCAGTATAGATTACAAAAAAAAAAAAGTACAGTTATATGCTGAAATTATCAAAATATTATTAATGAATAAATATGGAAGACAATTTCACTAAGGTTGTTATGGTAATTCCAAAATCTAAATTGCGAAAAAATATAATTTGTACTGAAAACACTTTTTCATTATAAAAAAAGAGACTTCAATTCTATTCCAACACTGTTAGCTATCGAGAAAGGCTTGAAAAAGTGAGGGATCCCAAACAAACATTGCACCACTGTTATCCATCATGCTAATCCGTAACCAAATGCAGCCATTTTAGTTTTATCTCCAACTCTCCAAACAACATAAGCTGTTCTACATCCAACTTTACAGAAAATGGTATATGGATTGGCCGTAGCATATAAAAAGAAGAGTCCATCCACGTAATTTGAAAAGGAAATAACTCAAACAATATGCTTATTTTCGGATAATTTTAGCTGAAGTTTAATCCAGCTCTTGAAATTCAATGACAATGAAAAACATATGAGGGAAACAATTGAAGATTTGGTTGGTTTTCTAAGTTGCAAAAGGACATGAACCAACATCCAGCTAAAGGGAAACATGTTTTCTAGCTACACCCCATCTGGAATAAATAATCTTGTACCACAGATTGCTTACATTGTGGGACCTGCAAATCTGTTGATTTTCAAGTTTATATGAAGGTATTTTTTCTCAATGAAAAGCAACCTGGACTGGAGCTATATGTGGCTAAATGAGTGTCATGATAGATAATATAAATTTACAACTTAGGACGTTAAATTGTATTGAACTTGATGAGTTTCTATCAGTACATAAATTATGGGTATTAAAAGAATTGAGATTCCTAATAAATTAAACCCAGAAGCAATAACAGCATTAAGGGAAAAAGGGAAAAAGAGAAAAAAAAAAAAAGGGTTAAAAATAACCTAATATCAGTATCATCAGCACTAGAATTACAAACATAAGCACTCACAAGAGACTCATGAAGAAGCCAGTCTTCTGCCAGCAGGCAACAGTAAAAACACCCCAGAAGAAAACACCTACAGAAAGAGGAAAACTAAAACACTAACAAAAATTAGCTGCAAGTTCCTTCCTGTGATTGATGTTGCCGAGGAGATATCTTGTGGCCTGAAAAGGAAAACCACGTAGAATCAGGTCTTACCATCAGTACTTAGAAATAACATAGTAATTAACTTTTACATAAAGGGATCATCATGCCTACTTCTGAAATTTGCTTAGAGCACCACAGAGGAGAGCATTATCTGGCATAGGCAACTCAGTTTTGTTAGTGGCCTCTGGATTGACAACCCTGACATAAGTTTCTTGGCCAAGGTACCATGAATCAAGGTTTTCTGTTCTTAGGTTCCAGACTCCAACATTATCAAGTGATACCAAGATTGCTGTCCATGCACCAGGATAAACCTGGATAGAAAGAAATATTATGCACTCAAGGCTTTACCAAAAAAAGAAAAAAAAGAAGACAACATGTCTACCAAAATTAAACTATAAAGTTTACCTGTGTTGTGGTGCGGGCAATGCCATCCCACTTGTTATAGGTGCCCCTGATATTCTCTGTCCACTCACCATAGTCCATTCTGAGATGAATTAATATTAGAATCAGTGTTGAAATCACACTTCAAGATCAAAATGCAAGTGCATATGCGCATATCATTAAGTATAAAGCAAAGAGATTCCTACCCAACAACGAAAAATGCATATCCACTCATGTGATAGGTGTGGACTTTTGTATCATTATTCTGGAGAATGACTTCCATAAATCCCCTATATGTTCCATTAATTACTGATGTGTCCATCCGGGGAGATCCTGTAAGTGGTTCAGTTGGAAAATCAAGCTTATACACTCCCTTAAGTTTGTACTGGTCAGCAAGTCGGATTGGCGTAGCAGGATTGACAAATGATATCCCACTGAGTGTTGCTCGTTGTTTTCCTTTAATAGCCATTGGTGGCTTGTTTCTCAAAACATAAACTTCGGTCACATTGATTGAACCATATCTGAAAGATCCCTGTGGGTTAGGGCGAGCTCCACTAGCAGATACATTCCATCTGTATAATGTGAGAACAAAATACTCTATAGTTAGGAGGATAAAACAACTACAGCACTCATCAAACAAGCCAAGACTTGACCAGATTTCAAATTGAAGTATTGAAAGAATACAGAAAAATACTATATTCTTCTCATTAAATCCTAACTCCATGATCATTTTTCTTTTTCCAAATGATTTTGGAATGACATTTCATATCATCCTGCAAAACCTGTCTTGACAACCAATTGAAGATGCATTACCAGACAGAGAACACAAAAAGAAAAAAGTCCATATTTTCCATTTCCTGGACTACAATATCATGTGTCAACAAGTGCCATCAACAAAAGAAGCCAAAAAACAAGCAGACAAATATGTTAATTTATGAGAGTGATGTGCTAAAAAATTTAAACACAATGGAAACTTACCTGATCGATCTTGCTTGGTTCATTGAAAAGGTCTTGTCATATTCATCATTTGGTGGATCTGGGAGGGGACCAGCTGCCTTGCCTTTGGAATTTGTGTAGTGCAAAATGGCAACACCAGTAACTCTTTGCCATTGTGATTGATTCACAAACCTAGCACTTGCTACGATGTAGTAATCAGTACTTGCGTTCTGATCCATAGTTACCAGAAAAGAATAAGATTGTCCTACGTGTATATCTAAGCTAGTGTAATTCTGCTGCACTGTGTATGATCCCTCAGACTCTGCAAGGAGCAAATTATGATTCTGAATCCTGAAATTCAAGGAGGTTGATATTCCAACATTGTGCACACGGAGGCGGTAAGTTTTCCCTGTCCCACGTAAAACAGTCACAATATAAGAGCTTGAGTATTTTACCATTTGAAACAAGCAATCAAGATTAAAGAGAGTGTTCATATGGGAAAAGGTTATAAAATTCACAATAGTCCATGAATCCATGTTATGTGAACTTAAAACAACAGGATGCGGCATGCATATAAAACAATTCCTTTGGCAACAGTGCATAATAAATCAATCAAGTTAAACTTTTACTGCCTTCAAATGAATGGAGTTTCGAACAACACTGCAATTCTTTACCCATGATGTCAATTGACATTTAGGAAGAGATATGCTTCATAAAGACAATTATCCATGCAAATGACATGATAGACACCCATTATAGTATTGGTATGGACTATGGAGTGCTACTCCAACTTTGACCACCCAATATCAATCATGTTTACATCTAATTACAATTATTAGAGCACGCAGGAAAGGAATAAAGCAAAGCCCTGCCCCCCTCCCTCCAACAAGAAGAATTGAACCTTTATTCTTATTGTAAAATACAACGGTGCCCATTCAGAATGGGACCTATTATTTCCTTTTTATTTTTAGAATTAATTTCAACTGCAGAGTAGCTTAAAACCATAAATTCAGCAAGCGTTACCCAACCATAAATAATTAATGAGCTATTAATCACCTGGGTGAACTTCAATTGTCTCATGATCAATGCCATCTGGTACCAGAGTAGTGTTATATCTGTAAGGGCCTTTTCCATTAATAAGAACTCCATCTGGCATCCCCAGATCTTTACCAGCATCAAGGGTCTCCCTCAAGGCCTATAAACCAAACAAAGGTTCAGCATTGGACACATTACGGCTGGAAACACAAAAAATGTGCCTTGAAGGGAAAAAATGTCTTATATATATAAAGCACTAACCGTGTGGTTCTGGGTGTACCAATCACCAATCAAAATGACAATATCCCCATCTGGGGTTGGAAAAGGAATTGGAATAATAGGCCTGTTGTTGATGATGAAACTACCAAAACCACCAGACGATCTCTGCATGTTCAGTGATGGAAAGTAGAAGAAACTCCCAATCTGGTCCTTAACCTGAAACTGGTAGGTCCAGTTCCACTTTGGAGGAATTGGACAGTTTGTTCCAGGAAGTCCATCTTGCCATGAACTACGTCTTTGTTGAACCCCAGACCTACTCACCAAGACATGTAGCAGACAGTCACCATGGAATCACACTCTCATTTCAATCAACAAGTTGCTCTAGAAAAGAAAAACAGATCCTACCAATGAAGGAGCAGATTCTCGTCCAATTTGTTTCGAACATTGACAACGACATTGTTGTTGGTAGTAACATTAACAGTAGGACCAGGAAACTTGCCATTAATAGCAATTACCTGCAACACAATGCAACTTATAGAAACGATTACTAGAACCCTACCTATTAGCCCAACAACATCACTTGAAAGCACATTACATAGTAGAAGAGACTAAATCTCAAGCACTTAGCATACTTAAGCTAGAACGAACCACATTTTCGTAGATCTGAAACTAAAAATTGAAACTTTAATGAATCTAAAGGTACTAAAACAAAGCAGACCCACATTAAAAAAACCCACTTAAACCAGGGAGAAAAGCAGAACATTCAAAAATGTTAAAGCAGAAAAAGAGATCCAGAAGGAGCTAAAGCAAACCTGTTGAGGCACACCCAGAGGAGAAGCAGTGATGTAAGAGACCTCAAAATTATAGAAGACAAACGGATCGTCAGCAAAACAGAAACCGGCGAACAGAGCAATGTGGACAAGAAGCAGACCAAAGAACCACCTGAAAGCCATTTTCTCCAAGAAAATCTCTTCTGGGTGTCACAAAATAACCAAATTTCTCTCAAAACTTCCCCGGGTTTTACATTATCTGCTACAGAACAGTAAATGAAGCTCGATAGAAAGAAACTGTGAGATGAAATGAAAGGAGAGGAAAACGGCTATATATTTTGCTAAGAAAGAGAATGTAAAGGAGGGCTTTGGTCGGGCAATGAGCATCGAGCGAGTGATCCTCAAAGCCATTTTTTTGTTTGGCAGAAGGTGCAATTCAGCCCCTCTACTTTCATTGTTGTGGCATATCAGCCCTTCTGTCGACGATGACATCATTAAATGTCATCTTTCCGTTTACATCCTCCTTACTCTGTTGCCAAGAAATGGTTTGGTGCTGATATGGAATTGAATGGATGATGTGGTCAATTTAAATTATAAAATTACTAAAGAGTTTTTGTCTTCCTCCCTTTCTTCCAGCATCTCCTCTCTCCTCCTTTAGATTCTCTCTCTTTCTATTGCAAATCTTCTTCTTCTTCTTTTTTTTTTTTCCAAAAGTTCAAGTTGAATCTTTCTTCAATTAAGTTTAAATCCAAAAAATTCTTAAGAAAAAAGCCTTGAAAATATAAAATTAAGAAAAAGTTTAAAATTAAAATCAAAACTTATGGTTTGTTGGCACCAAGTAATTTATTTATTGAGTTTCTATCTTCAATAACCTAAAATTTACATGACTTTATTTTAAATAAAATTACATGTAATTTTTATTTCTTTTAAAAAAATATCTCACAAATAGATTCATATTTTTTTAATAAAAACACAAACTAAAAAAAGGAAAAAATAAAAAATTTTGGATTCATATGAGCACTTTTATTGCTGAAACAACATCTTAATACAAATTAAAAACCTTCTACGGTAAAGGAGCACATATGAATTCATAAATTTTTATTTTTTTCCTTTTCTTTCATTTGTGTTTTTATTAAAAATATATATAAATCCTTTTTTGAGATATTTTTCTAAAAAAAATAAATATTAAATGTATTTTTATATAAAATAAAATCAAGTAAATTTTAAGTTATTAGAAATGGAGACTTAATGAGTAGATCACTTAGTGTCGATAAAGCCACAAGTTTTAATTTTAGATTCAAACTTTTTCTTAATTTTTATATTTTTATATTTTGATAGTTTTTTAAAATAATTTTTTTGGATTTAAACTTATATGAAAAAAAAAATTAGTTTAAAGTCATAGAAAAAAAAATAGATATGCAATAAAAAGAAAGAGATTGTAAAGGGGGAGAGAGAAGATAAATGGAAGAAAAGGAAGTAGACAAGTACTCTTTAATAACTTTATAAATTAAATTGGCCACGTCGCCCACCCAATGATAGACAAGCACCAAGCCATTCATTCTATGGTAACGGAGTAACAGAGTTGTAGACGGAAAGATGACATTGATGATGTCATCGTCTGTCAAGTAGAGGGGTTGATTTGGACTACTTTTAAGTAGAGGGGCTGATATGCCACAACAATGGAAGTAGAGAGGCTGAGTTGCACCTTCTTCCTTTTTGTTTTTGTCGGTCACCAGTCATCATTCTCAGAAAGAGGAGAGAGAAAGTAGAGAGAGAATAGGCATTGAGGGTGACAGATGGTGGGTGACAGCCAGTTGCCAGTTCACAGTTCACACTTCGAGTACAAGCAGTAACATTGTAAACAATGCCCGTGTACATGCCGTGTGCCACTACGGTAAACATGTTTGATTGTTGCCGTCCGATGGCCAGTGTTTCAGATCATCAGATAGCGCCGAATGATTTCCAGCATATGATTGCATGTGGCCCCCAGTTAATAACTACGTAAATACTAGCCGTTGCGACGTACTTATGATTCACCTAATAGCCGTTCGATTGGTGCTCTATTTTACTTTCTTTTTTTTTTTTTTCTTTATGTGTTGTTATAACAGAAATTTAAGGATGTAATTAGTATATTTTTTTTATTATAAATTTTTTTTGAACAGATATTGCAAGGGACGGGATCGAACCCAGCCCGGGGAGGAGGGAAATGCACCGGTGGCTTTGCCACTAAACCTCAAGGCTCAGGTGCATTATAAATTAATATTAAAGATAATAAAAATTAATATTAATTTCGTTATTAATACTACAAGCATTATTTTAAAGGTTTTTTTAACCTTTATTTTATGTAAAAGTATAATTATTTTACCTTTTTAATATTAATTAAAAAATAAAAGTTAACTTATATTTAATTAATTATCTAATTAAAATGACTTGTGTACACTAATGACAAAATCAATGATAATTTTTATTTTTTAATATTAATTAATGTTAAAAATGTATAATAATTACATTTTTAAATTGTATTCCTAAAAAATTTTTTATTTTAATTAGGCAATTGATCACATAAATATTGATTTTTATTTTTTTAATGACAATTATTGCCAAAAAGTTACTGTTAATTTGTATTCTAAAGATACATGTTAGAAAATTTTTTTGTAACTAATGCTTTTAAAACATAAATTGAGGATTTTGTAACTTAAAAATAATTAAGGGTATTGTACTTTTTTACATGGTATTAAAATAGGAAAAATGGACATTTAATTTTACCATTAATTTTATGTAAATAATTTTAATTGAACAATTAAAATTAAGAGAAAAATATTTATTAAACAAGTCTCTAAAAAAAATTTTAAAAAACCTAAAACTATTTCATGTTAATAAATTTTTTTTAAGAAACTAAAATAACTTAAAAAAAAAAGAGTGTTTCAATTTTTTTATAATATTTTATTAAAATAATATAATTTTCATATATATTTTTGAATTTTTAAAAACCCCAACAAGTAAACACCAAGCTCTAAAATTAATATTGATTTTTTTTATCTGATTTAAAGATTAAAAGACACAATAATTATATTTTTAATATATACACAGATTAGCTAGATGGTCACTAAATTTTTTTTTTAGACATCACACATGGTGACTTAATCTCATTAACTAAATTTTAAATTAGATTTTTCTGACCAATATTCTAATAACACAAGTTAAAAGCATATTTAATATGCTTTGTACTCATTTAATTCTATAAAAAAATAAAATAATTTTTAATTTTAATTTTAATAACTAATTGATTAAATTGTTACATGTGATGCACATATCCCTTCGAGTCAACTGATAATTTATCAACTTGAGGTACATTCTCTTTTCTTCATGAGCAGATTTCGAGCTTGCCCTTAACAACTTATTAAAAAAAAAATTATTACATGTGATGGTGATGACAGAAATAATACCAACTTTTCGGGTTTTTCATATCACTTCACATAATAGAAAACTCCTTTTAAGTTACGCAAGAGTAAAAGTTTATGGGTCAATTTTTTTTTATGTAAAAGGGTTGTGGATAAATACAAATCACATGGTGAAGTGTTCTACCCAACATATCTTGAGTCCGTCCAAAGCGGAAGGACAATTCCGGACATGCCAGGCCAGCTCACAGATAACTACGGACATGTGCGTAGTTTATATATATATATATATATATATATATTTATTACACAATAAAAAATACTTATTTTTTTTATTTAACTCTACTCATATATAATGCGATTTGAATTTAAAATTTTTTAGTTTCAACAAAAAAAAAATAAATTATTTAAATAGTTATTCATATATTTAATTTATTTTTTGAATGATTTATAATTATTTATAGAATTAATTAAAGGAGGAGGAAAAAAATTTTATGAACCTCGAACGTACAATCCACCGAAAGTGAAGAACCATGACTCAGGATAAATACTAATGAACCGGAGCGGGCATTCTATTCACATATTTAATTTGTACTTCCACTTTCTCATTAGAAGAGATAAACATTGATTTAAGGTTAAATGTTTAATTTGGTCCCTTAACTTTATGAAATGAACATTTTTGATCCCTCAATAATTTTTTGTATTTTTTAATCTCTTAACTATACGAAATACATTCCGTTAGTCTTTCTGTTAATTTCGATCATTAACTCGCTTATGTGGCATTTTTATAATTTTTTTGATGACATGGCAAAAACAAATTGAAAATGTGTTGATGTGGATTTTTTTTTCATGCCAACTCACATTATTACTATTTATATTTTAAAAAAATAAAATAAAATAACTCACGTTCATCTTTTTCCTTTCTCTTTTTCTTTTTTTCCCTTCCTCTTCTTTCTTCCTCTTCTTCCTCGGGTCATTGAACCCAGTTGCTGGGTTCGACCGAACCTAGAACCCAGCTCCACTTTTTTTTTTATATATATATGATTGTTTGCCAAGAGATTATTCGAATTGCAGGTTGTTATGAGGGATTTTTGAGCAACTGGTTTTTTTTTTTTTTGGTTATGTGATTGTTTGCCAAGAGATTATCCAAATTGCAGGGATTTTTGAGCAATTGAGCTCAATGAATCGAGCCGGGTTCAATGGAACGAATTTGCTCGGTTCTGTTCTGTCGAACTTCAATCTTGAAAGTGGAAAGTATGAAAAGAATAGAAACAGTAACAGACGGGGAAAGAAGCAATTTTTAGTGGTGATATGGGGCCCATTTGAATGGGTTTTGTGCGTTTTCAGCTAGGTAACATGTGACATAACAAAAGTTTTATACAAATCATCACCTTTTTAAGTTTTGCTCTCCACATCATCAAAAAAAATATTAAAAATGCCATATAAGCAGAGTTAACGGCCCAAACTAACAGAAGGACTAACGGAGTGCATTTCGTATAGTTGAGGGATAAAAAAAAGTACAAAAAATTGCTGAGGGACCAAAAATGTGCAACTCACTAAAGTTGAGGGACCAAATTTAACATTTAACCTTGATTTAATGAGTTTAGTAAAATATATGAAATTTTACGTAATTTTAAATTAATTAATTTTAAAATTCTAACATATATATCCTATTTTTGTTTTATGGAGATTGATTTGTTGACTTTGAGTTGGTTCGTAGAGGCATATTAATTCCCCCTACCCACCTGTGCGAAATGAATTATT